AGAATAGGAGGGCCATTTGTGTGCACCAATTTCCATGATTTTGTGATTCAGTTCACATAGGCGAAAATGGTATCTCTGTTGCAGAGAGAAAGACAGGCATCAAAAGCGGGGATGATTAGGTGGAAGAACGATGATGCCAGAGAAAAGGGTCATCAGCAAGTTGGCAGAGACTGCAAACAGACGAGAAACCCTAATCTCATCAAAGCAGAGATACGTCTCGCTTGAGTTATCTGCTAAAGCGACCTCGTGCTCACTACAAACGATGTTTCATGAGCTGGTACACCTTAGATGTACATATAAACATCAAGGTAATGTCGTGGAGTAGAGTTTGTTTATTGACGCATTACTTCTCCCAGATAAGACTAGATAAGATTATCTACGATTCAGCAGTTCATATTTGCAGGAATTAATTAGCGTTATTTTGATGCACCAGAACCAAAGGAGATGGGCAATCTTGTTGACGCATAGGCCTGGAAATATGGCAGAGCGATGACACAATCATGGACAACAGTCCATTTTAAATCAAAAGAGAACTTAATCTAAACTTAAGCCATAAAGTGTCATTTGCTTGTTCATAAGAATTGAGTTCATGCAACAACATTTATTAAGAACCTGCAAGATATCGATTAGTGAATTTGAATCGCCATTATAACTCAAGGTTTTTTCATATACAGTTTCTGGTAACAGATTACAACGATGATGTAAAATCTCCTATCCACCAGCGTGTTTGCATACAGCGCACGGATGTCCTCTTGTTTATGACGTTGTTGAGTGATGCCGAACAGCATTCGTCAATAAACAATTTTAGACCTGGTAGTCAGTTGCTTCGAATCATGAATCAACTGAAGAAGAGAAGTATTTTGAAAGCGTAAATTTTTAAAAACGGTTCCATTTATAGAATGGAGCAGACCAAACAAATCAGAAGATGCATATATGCTGAAATGATACTGTTTCGCATAGAAATTTGGCCAAATTCGAACCAGCAGTTTACGATGCTCAATCTAGGAAAACTAAACGAAACCTCAGAAGCTGCCGGTTCCGCAATCCGTCAGAATCGCCTGCGGAAATGGATGCAAAAATGGTCATAAAGCGGATGACATCACGTTATATAACAAGTGTTTCGCGATCCCGTGTTGAATTTATGGACATAGACTGAGCGGTGTAACTCAGTCGGTAAAGCTCTGGAACCTAAACCTACAGACCACTGGGTCACTCATTTTTTGTCGATCTGGATAAGACAAACGAATACGGCTTAGAGAGAAATAAAAACAGACTACTGCTTGACATACTGCGATACACATACTACTGATAAACGTTGTCCCAGATTCAGCAAAAACCCTCAGAGATACGGAGGCAGCCTCCGTCAGCACTACATGAATATACTCACTCGCAACGTAGTGTCGCATTACCTCAGTTTTGATTCAGCCATGTACGAGCTCGTCTGTGGCATCTTCTGCATTTATTCCAGATACTGCATATGATATCTTATTTATTAAGCATCTGCTTTAGGCTATTTATATATTTCTCCCGTCATGACCGCGCCGAAAAAGGGGGTTTGCCGTGAACCCCTTCAAGTAGTAAACTTTCAGTTTTCATAAATAAAACGTTTTTCGTAAATCTCAGGAATGGCAAGGAACCATCTACTCTTGGAGGGGACAACGATTAGACAAACCCATGCTTTGGCAATCCGCTGGCTCTTGGCAGATTCAACAACACTACATAAACGACTCTAAGAAAAAAACACTGGATGTTTGCATAATGAGTGTGCAATTCAGATCAAAGCGTGTACAGTTAAACTAGAGAACAAGTCAATGAACCAATAACAATCAAAATATGATATGAAATTATAAAATCACCGCTTTTCAGCGCAACCAGTTTTCGGTATATCTTCAAACGAGACCACACCCCAACCAAGCATATGATCACTGCCTCCGTCCCCGCCGACAACAGCCTTCGCAACTTCAACCACCATGCGAAATTCACATTCAAGTAACGTCGTATAAAAGGTGACTTTCTGAAAGAAGATGTCGCTGAAGTGTTTAGAACATACGCTCTCGAAAGCCGCACCTGTAGGTACTCTGCCTTCTCTGGCAACGCGGTGACCGTTTGCGCTCGGCTCCTGCAGGAACGGCCAAAAAACTTCATCTGTTGCACGCTGTACAGCCATAGCACGAAATATACGTCTCTGCTGTCTCGGATGGTGTTCTAAAAAATCTGCGGATGTTACCGTTTGTGAGATCAAGGATCACGCAGATTCGTTACGGAGAAGGTCGCATTAACCACCATAATCTCGTAGCCCACATTCTCACGGTTTCCTTTCTCTCTTGGCGGTTCCAGTGGTACGTAGCAGTTGCGGGTCAGCAACTCCTTCCAGGTCTTCGACATCATCTCGATGGACAGCTGATCGCGGAGAGTTCTGTTTCCCAACGGTTGCCATGACGACCATCACACTATTACGAGTTCTCGACCTATGCTCAAAATTTTGCAATTTAACAATAGCGATGCAGTTTAGCTGATCGACGCAAATAATATCCACATTCTGGACTTACTAAGAAAAAGCAGTTTCAGTTTCAGAAATATGCAGTTACATCTCCGCATTAACTTGGTGCTCGAACAGATTGACTCGGCTTTGCGATCAAGTACTACAGGTATTTCCTTATCACGGAGCCATGGTTAAATTAAGCGTTTTTAATTTAAATTTACGCCTACACTTTCGGCTAATTTTTACGCAGCAATCAGGTGGGTCAAGGCGGACTGCAGCCTGAAGGCACATGCGTCAGGTAACATGGTCGCATTTCTCGCACTTTACGCACAGCCTCATCGAAGCAGCTTGCTGTCCTGGTTATTAGCAAGTAATGTCCTGCTATCCTTTTTGTGGCTACTTGCACCGAAGCACAGTTTGGTGAATTCTTTGCTCAAGTTATTAGTTAATATTATTAGTTAATAAGCGAAAATTTCACTGCGCGTTGGGTTTGCACCCTCCATTCAAACTAGACAAGCTACCGACTATCTCCCAACAGGTTCAACTGGCTGTTCGGGGTAAGGGGTAGTGTAGCTATTTCCTGACAATCTTAAAACTACCACATTTTAGTTAACCGAATCGAGCAGATCGAGTTTCAATGAGCTTAGCGGCTTTCAAAACTACTCATGACAGTTGCAAATTTTGATATTTCCTTTCTAACAATTGCGCAGCGCTTATGAAATGAAATATGTGCTAGCGTTGCATAACTATACGTTAAACAATAACCATTAACGCACTTACGCACAAATCTCAAAAGTCAGTTGAATATTTTACAAGTGTCACATTACAGCATGAAAGCACGGTTTATTTGTGTATATCGCAAACAGTATGGTTATTTGCGTAATAAAAAATAACATAGTATTGTCGCATGCCATGCTGACCGTTTCCAAAGGAAGGAGTTGGTTAAGTTTTCGAAATTTTTTTTGTTACTCGCAACTCTTCGTATATTCAAAACCGAAGACCATGGTTTCGTCAGTTGTAGGTTTCTTCGTTACAGGACGACAAAATTCATTCATTCCGCGAAGAGTTTGTATCCTATGTAACGACTTACGTTGCAGCAAGGCTGACCGATTAATGCCTGTTTGACGCATGTGTTCAACCACTGTTTGTCTAGTGACGCCAGTATATTTTGACCATCCAGTCATCCTTTGCCATGTGTGCCCGGGAAATTCCCTTCCGGGGAATCAAACAAGTAATTTTACAGCCTATTTGCCTCTAAAGGCCCGAATGATCCTTCGACCAGGGTGCGACTTTTGTGATATTATAGGAGCTGCAGTGTCCGTGTGCAACTGCATCTCGATATTAGTCTGTAAAGCACGTTGGAGCACATACGTGTTCGCCAGTCTGAATTTGTATGACATTGTTGTTCCATCTCTTGGCTTCTGATGGAGCTGAAGACTTTATTGCCAGGCCACTTATCAATGTGTTCTAAAAAGATTACCCGTAGAAACAAAACCATATCACTGTTGAAAAAAGGCTTCGGGATCGAACAAATACAGGCAAACAATCGACAAGTGTCCTTTATGGATGAAATGTCGATCAAAATGCCACTACCTGCAGTACATACATGCATAAACCCCAAATGTGACATTTTCGATTTTACAGAAAACTGTTGATTTGCGACATGGCATGTATGAGTCACGATAAAATTTTGTCTTGCCAGTGTGTTATTATAAACGTATTGCACGTAATGATTTGGTGAACACTTTGAGCACGTCGCAGCAACCTCTAACATGAGGAGATATAGTAGAAGAGAATTTCCTTTTCCTAATTTTGAAATGAAATCCCGTATAAAAGACATTACTTCCAGTCTTAGATAGCTTAAACTGCGGAATCTATAAAATTTTTAGCTGTCACCTTATGCAGATGAAACGTTCGCCAACTGGATTACATATTCGCCACCATTTGAAGAAGCATTGTGTCATATTTTTCTAAAGAAATCAGCTTGAAGCTGTATGAAAATATTCTTTGGTTCACTGCAGGAGCAAAGGGGTTATACGATTTATTGGTAATCACACTGAATCAACAGTTATTAGGTAGGCGAAAGCAAACTGCACCTGTGTGAGGCGGTTACATCAAACAGAACGACTGTACCTCATACTCTTTATGGAATGGGCGCATCAGAATACCACGCAGTTCCAGTTATTTGAGAATTGACTAGTTTTTGCCAGTTTCTCGGCTAGTTGCGCAGAAGTAACGCGAAACAAATTTTTTGTTTAAGGGAATTAGTGGTTATGAATCAGATTGTTTATTCTCCGCCTTCAAATGCAGCAATTCAGGAGGTCTAAATAAATTTCCTTGCCACCGCACCACCGAATAAACAACGCGATATGATTGTTTGTAGAATTCATAAGTATTTTGGCTGTAGCAAATTTTGAAATTCTTTATTGCGGCAGTGGAGTGAAATGAAGCCTCCCATGAAACGATCTTCAACTACACGAGAATTATGTACAATCAATAATTCACATTCATAAAAATTCTTGTCTCCTGTTGTTGGCAGAATGTTACTGTATGAGCGGGTGCGCATATTTTGGAGTTTCGTATACGACTAGCGAACAGCCAAGTGTGTTTTCTGCAGTACCTCTACGCTTGTCCTATTCTGTTCAAGATTAATCGTAAAACTTTGAAATGTGAAAGCTGTACGATGTTTAAAGCTTTGCGCTTATCTAAAATGCCTGCGCATGAAATTGAGTGGTGCCTACATTCCGACAATTTTAAAATATTAATTTTAAGCTGCCCGGCAGAAGAAAACAATAAGCTCTCCTTTGGTGTAACAGATTGCGTATGATTTGTGTAAATTTTCTGTGCGTTTTGCCGCCAACTTGTATTTAAACAAGCTACGGACATAAGAAAAAAATATCTTTGTAGCCATTTCTCATTTCGTAGGTTGTGCAGAATATTTTCAGAGAAAATGTAGTATTTAGTCATTTTCTGTTGTATCTTCCCAAGATTTTAGCGATTATTTTTCGAAAGATTTCATGATTTCAGCGGAGAGAATTTATTCATGGATTTCATTTTCGGGATTGCTTATACACTCTGTTATCAGGGTCACAAGTTTTCTCTTTGCTTCCTTGTGTCACGATATTGTTGTAAACATCTGAATGATATGATTGATCTGTCAGACGAGTACAAGTTTCCTGCCATTGGCGTCGTTAAACTAATACTTCAGTTTCTGAAGCCATAATGAGAATTCGGTATTTGAGCACATGAGCTGCCACTACGTGTATCTTGCACTGTTTTGTTCGATAGTACCGCCTCATGTTCGTTACGAATGATATTGCAGAAGCCGGTAATAACATGCTGCCTTATGAATATCATAAGCTGTGTGTTGGAGTATTACAAATAACGAATGACTCCAAGACCATATTTCACGGCTTATTGCACCCTCCTATATTTTAGATACCACTGACGGAGCCGCGACCCATTCTGAATAGAAGAGACAGACTGCTGTGCCATTGTAGCGTATAAGACAAAATTTCATGTGAGCGATACAAACAAGGGAAGTTTACAGTCGGAAACGAATTCTTCTCACTCGGAGGGAAATAGCAGGAGGTAGCGGATGAAGCCGCAAGGTACTCACTGGACGAACACCATGGTTCTGGAATCCAGAGCCTATGCGGATGGAAGCTATTCTACTCAAGTATTGTCTGTATGACCTGCGCTCAGGCCGTCAGTACCTGGTATAGGGAAACTTGTGCACAAAAGTCAATCTGTTTGACAATTGCTTCATTTGATTCACGACATTGCAAAAGATGCTCACGTTAAGAGAGGTACAAAATTGTCAGTGTTCTCTATAGGTAACCACAAAAAAAATTGAAACTTCAGCTAAAATATTGTTTGGCTTATCACTGCACTACAATTTCGTGGATATTTAGTCATTATGAGCATTTATGGATCCACTGCGTAATGAAGCCCTCTTCAGGACTTTCCCATACGCTTTTGGTTACTAGTATTTTCATCTCTTGACCTGACGGACTTCTTCACCTGATCCTGCTATCGATCTGAAGGTCTTTCTTCTTACGGTTTACTCTGTCTTGGAACCCCGTCTTATATCTCAATGATCCAGTGATGTTTCTGCAGCCTGTCCTGCCCATTGAGATTTTGGTTTTTTCACTCTGGCAAAGACATCTCACACTCGTTTTTTGTCTTAAACATTCATTCCTCTTCCTATATTTTCTTGTTACTCCCAATATGCCCCCTTTTATGTTGCGTTGTGCAGTTTTGCTGTAGTCAGTAAACTAGGTTAAATGAAATATTTTGACGTCATTTAGGTCCATCAATCAGTTCTCAAAAAATCCACTGCTTCATTTAGCAATAGCCGGTAAGCCTAGTTTCAAGCTACATAAGACGATCGATGAAGCAGAATTTACAGGCGAACCACTATTGTAAGAGAAGGAAGAAATATAGAATTCAGAAGAAAAAGATTTTTTGCTATAATCTTAATGTATGCACAATATTTCTAATGTTTGACTATATTTCTTGATTTGTCTAAGAAGTTTAAATGTGGCAGTTTCTTCAGTGCTATTTGTGAATCTTCCACTTTAAATACATTTAAACGTTCTTCCTCTGCCCTGAGGGTTCAGCATATAAACAGAATAATATAATTATTCAGAATTGACTGACTCTCAGACCTACTCATCGTTGTTCCCGTTTCGGTCCATATTTTCAAAACTGATTTACAGGTTAAAATATTCTTTTCAGGTGCTGTGTTTGAATGAGGCGTTTCGTGTAGCGGACAACACGTTATTGGTGCCGGAACAGTTTTCGATTTATTTGTCTATCGGCATGTTTCTCTACCCCTTGTTATAACGTTGAATACATTCAGCTTTCCTACCAGTGCTTACCGGTATGTTTTATGCTTACC